ATCAACGATAGCGACGCGGAAGCCTTTGCCGGTCACGCCCTCTGCGTGCAGCTTGTCGACCTGGGTCATGACATGGGGAGAGAAGGTGCGCTCGGATGTGGTTTGCCGCTTGGTGTGCTTCTGCTGGGAAGGTGCTGCAACACTTTCCTCACCCGAACGTGTGGTGATGCGCGTCGGCCATATGTTCTCGACCTGGGGTTGTGCCTTCATCTGACGCAAGAAGTCCCCACCAGTCGAGTTCGAGCTCGACCTCTTGACTTGGAACGAGACACCTTTGAAGAAACGGAAGCTCAGGTCCATGCGAGGTTCAACCTGTACGCCGCTGGCTGCAAGAGACGCGTAGAATGACTCCGGTGTCTCATCGTCATCCGCGAACTCGACAATGTAGGCACCGGGCATGATGCCGCCTGCCACAGGCGTGTCATTTGCAGCTCGTTGTACAATCGCATTCGGTTGGAGTCGAGGATGAATGGGCGTTGACACGGCAACTTGCGCACCCAGAACAAGGGCCGCGATGGCGCAAGAGATCTTTCCCATTGTCAGAAGCGAGCGTGAGAGGGATGCGTGTCTGGCATCGCAGCCACGATGACCATTATATCTGTACGAAGACCAAGCCCGTAGCGTTATCTGGAAGCTTTCGGGACATGTCGATGTTCATGCGCACTTCGTATAGCACGGTCAGGTTGCCCAATGTGCCCTGTGTGTGGATAGGAAATAGAAACACCAGCATGGAGATCGTGGATGGTGTCCACTTTTCAATATTAGCTATCGGCCCCTTTCCCCATTGCGGATGACCACCGGAGAATTTAGGCTTCTTGCGGACCGAGCCTTGGCTGTTATGGCGGTGACTGCTCGAACTCTCTCACAAAAACTGATCCGCATCGTAAGATGGCCATGTTGCCGTGCGAATACGATGCGATAACGCGTGACGCGATTTCTTGGGGAAGAAGGACCGAGCTGTGAGCGGGGTCGAGAAGGAGCTTTGGCTTCATTCAGCGCGTCGTGAGCATGCCGCCTCGTATTGTATGGGCCTCACAAACTCAACGGGACATTCACGAAGGCATATAGCATTTGATGATAGGCGGAGGATAAGGCAATGTTTGTTCGAGGTTGAAGATGTGACCTCAGCTCATGTCATGCGGAAGTGGCGCCTTCACGCGGTGGGGCTCCAGCGCCTAGCGCGCCCACCCCGCGAACCGCCAATGCACACTCGAGATCCACCACCAACTTACGACATCGTCGCATTCGCAGCCTTCTTGAACAGAAAACTGATCATCGCTCTACCAGGCACACTTGCGCTCGCAGTCCCATCACTGCCCACCGTCACAGTCGCAACACTCATGTCGTGGGTATTATCCGTATACCACGCCCTCACATCCGAATACCCAGCCAACACAACACCCACATTCTGCGCACCCGCCGCAGAATTAATAACCACAACCGCCACACTCCCATCCCCATTAACAAAAGCACCAGCCTTGACATTCGCCCCACCACTCGCCCCCACCCTCACAGCACCCGGCCTAACGACGCCAAACTGCGCGAAAGCCCAAAGCCGCTTGCTAACCTGGTAGTTCTGGCCATCAACAAGAATAAGCTTCTCGTTGTTATTATTATTCGTAGCGCGGTCCTGGACGCCTTCCCAGAAGATGTAGGCGGACAGATTGGAGTTTACGATACCGTTGAAGACGGTGTTGGCCCAGGTGAAGCCATCGCCGGCACCGCCGTTGGAATACCAGGCTGTGCTCCAACCGCCGCTCAGGTCTGAGTACTCGGTTTGCCAGACGCGAGCGGCAGTGCGCATGGTGCCGCTGATGCGCGAAGTATACTCGTGCGAGGTGATGGCGTAGACGAAGCTTTCGGCGCCGGCAGAGGCGATTTGCTGCGCGTGTTGGGTTGCGACGTTCCAGCCTGTGGCTTCGCAGCAGTTTATGCCCACGGAAGTCAGGTTCGCACGGTCGAGTGTGGGGCGGAGGACTTTGATGAACTCGGCGGCTTGGGTACCAGATGATTGCATTGAGGCGTACGAGGTGGATAAGTCGGGCTCGTTGAGGAAGCCGAGGTGTGTGACTTTGACGCCGGCGGATGCGTAGAAGTTGATGTATGCGACGAGGTAGTTCGCGTAGGCTTGTTTCCAATCTCCAGAGCGGCAATTGGTACCAGAGACCTGGGGCAGGTTAGCGGACGCGATGAGGGAACTTCGGGGATGCACGTACACCACAGAGCTGGCCGCCGTTGGTGTCCTGGTTGTTTGTCTTCATGCATCCAGGCGCACTCCATGCATTCGCGTAGAAGGTATTCACGCCATACTCTTGTGCTCTCTGGCTGAGAAACAACTGTCCGCTATCCTTAGCATCCCAGACGTACCCGCTGTAGTTAGTAGTGACTTCAACCGGTGTGCTTGGGCATTTGGGAAGGATCGTGTTCATGAAATCGCTGTTGCTATTGGGTGTGGAGCCAATACCGTTGCGCACGATTGAGAAGCCAGCGCCGGTGGTCGTGTTGAAGAGTAGATCGAGAACCTCGCGCTGTTTGGGTCGCTGCAGATTGACGATGAGGTTTGCGCGCTGGAATGCGCCTGATAAACCGAAGCCGTCGATCGTCTGGTATCTCTTCGTCAGGTCGATGGTGACTTTCTGCTGCGCTTGGCGACTTTCCAGAGAGACTGCCAAAGTGACATGCGATATGGCCGCAAGGGCCACAAGATGCGACAATACAGAATACATGATGCTTTCAGCGATGATGAAATGAGCAAGACAGCGGAGAGCATCTTGCTGAAGTATGCATTGCGGTTGACATGTGGGGCTTAAACAGGCTGTTCATCGTATCGTTCAATCTGCATCCGGCGCAAATTTCATCGATATCGTGTGGTGATTTGCGCGTCCTATATTATTCCGTTTCCTCCGATCGATGCTACTATATACACTTCGTATCAGACATGCGGAGGACTAGTACCCCACGATTCCCTTGCGCCGAAGAGATTGAGCACGAATTTAGCCGACATGTCGGGTCCCGTAAGGAGACAAATATCATGAAAGCTGGACACCAGCAAGCGCAAGGCATAACGTCAATTGCAGCCAAGAACAACAAAGAAGCGTGGTGGTAGTGCTGCTGCTGTGCACAGTCAGGCTGTTGCTCACAAGCCTTCCACAGAGCGTCCACCTACGTACAACAGTCGCGGCCGCAAGATCGCTCCACCAAAGAGATTTAGGTGGCAGACGTTATCGCATAGGTCTACAGATCACTCTGCCAAGTTTTGGTGTACTCAGCTCTATCCTGCGTAGCTCAAACAACCTTGATTCCGCGGGCTGCAAAAGGTGGCGGGGTGGCCCATCACGATAACAGGCCCATCACAAGGCCATGCACGGTAAGGTTCGTTGAGATGCGATCTCGCGAACGCACAACTGCGAGTCTAGTCGGCGAATCATAGAATGTAGCCAATGATTTAGTTGTTCCACGTGGATTGCTTTTTGTCGGCTGTACTCGTTCCTGTTCCGCCCTGGATCTAGATCTTGACTTCTATGGGGGCTGAGAGCTAATGCGGCTGATTGTCTTCAGCGCGCATCTTGTTTGCATTAGCGGAGCATCTGTCCTAGGATCTAGAAACAAGTGCATTAGTCTTAGGAGATGATGTTCCCAGGAGTTCTTGGAAACGGTATCCTCGAGCGATACTTCTTCCTCGTATACAATTCATCGTGTGTTTGCTTTACGCCCTGTTCTAGCGTCGTCCCTGCAAACAACTTCCGTGTCAATTGATCAGTAAGTCGGATGAACTGAAAGTGTTGTCTCGACTGACGATTCGTGCAAAGTGACGGAGTCGCCGCAATATGTAACTTGGGCGTCCGCGTTTTGGGGTATCGCTGCCTTCGCTGTGAACTCTATGGGACAGCCAGCTGGGGCTGTATGTGGTGTGGATGCCGACGTCAATCTTGAGCTACGCAGCTCACCCATCATGTGCGCTATCGATGCTGGCCTAATAATCTGGCGTTTCCTATACTATCTCTTGAGTCCGCCGATTCATCAGACTCAAGACCCCTGGAAGGCTTGCATACGTACCGCGCGAATACGACTACTCAGATTTCGCTTCCAAGACGAGTTCAGCGACCCTTCTCGGAAAGGAGATCTCGCAGATCTTTTGAGGAATCGATATGTTCGTCTTGTGGTTTTTGCTGTGACTCTTTCACAGGTAGTTAAACTCTACGGCTATAGCGGGATTCCATGGAAGAAAGCGTTTGCAAGTGTATATCTGGCTTCGTTCCTGACTATCGAACTCCTAGTAACTTGGCACCGGCCGAAGATCGATGATTTGATTAAGTCCAGCGAAAAGGAAGACCCCATAAGCTCGTCAGGGGCAGACAGTCTTTCTTACATCTCTATTGCCGCATCCGTAGCATTCACCCTATACTTCGCCTCTGCCGCTACAAGAGATGCGTTCGGCCGACCTGAAGAAAGCAACTTGCGTTGGAGTGGTCTGGTAGTACCCATATCTGGAGCAGCGTTCTGCGTGCCAGTATATCTCTACAGCGTTCTCAAACGTGATCAGGTTGTCGAGCGAGATCAGTTTCAAGAAGTCATTCTGCCAGGCTTCCTGTTGATTTTACTCATTGCTCTGCCGCTCTTCCCGTACTTCATCGCTCCGGTCATCGAGCGTGGGAGTCTTGAGATTGTGTGGCACGACTTCTTCACTTCCTTGATGGTTGCTGCCTGGACTGGGATCTGCCTGAAATTTACATCGTCGGCTACCAAAGTTGTTCGAGCACTTGATAACGAACAGGACAGAAAGCGCATGGAAAAGGGAGCCGGCGTGTTTTTTCTTGTCTTGAATGCTGTGACAGCCTTTTTGTACTATAGATTTAGCTACGACCCGCGAGGCACTCAAAAAGCGTCTTGGACCGACTACTTGGGCTGATACTGTCCAATGTATGCTTAGTTATTGATGGAAAAATAATCCTGTCAGATGATTGATACAAATCAGGCGCTTCAGAGAATCCCAAACGTCATCACCCTAACCATCCGCCTACTCCTGGCGCTTGGGAGTAATAGCGCGACCTGCGCACAAACATGGCCGGCCGCTTGGGCCGATCTTGAGCAGCTGGAGGTACATCCAAAGCAACCTGCTTCGAAGGCGATTCCTGGCTTTTGTCTTCCGCTACCCCGTCCCCTGTCTTTACCGAATGAATAGAGTGCGCCTTTGACTCAGACTGCGGTGTCTCTACCTTCCCCAGCTTCCCATTCACCTTCTCCGCCGTAGTCCAAGAAGCATTCATACAAGTAAGCAACGCGTAAATCTTAACAAACGCATGCAAATGACCAAACAAAAGATACGCGGGGAAATACACAACATCGGCAGGATGTTTGCGGAAGTGTTCCAGAATCTTGACAAACTTGAACGACAGGATCCAGAGCGTGAGCGCGGATGCGCTGATAGGGAAGTACTCAGACTTTCCGTACTGCTTCAGCGTCCCCCGAAGCGTCATATACATACACATCTCCTGCGTGAGCGATTGACGGAAGAACCACATGAGCAGACTCCAGCTCATAAAGGGATGACGCACCCACGTCAGCCTACCCATCAACTGCGCTGGGTTATTGCGCCAAGTCGTGCGTGTCCAGCGGAGTACTTGACTCATGAACTTGGGCCACTCGCCCAGTTCCGTCGTCATGACGCTATCGGGACCAGCCTGCAGACCCATTTTCCAGTCATGTTCAATCAGCCAGCGGGTGTGAAACTTGTCGTCATCGGAGTTAAGAGGCTCGGTCTTGAACGGCATGTACGAATTTAGGTATCCGTTGAGGAACTCGGGCGATGCATAGATAGTCGTGCGGAAGACGCCGAAACGGCCTGGTAACGTTGAGAGGCCGCGGTCGATGCCGTAGGTGCCGCGGTACTCGTAGGAACGGCGCATCAGGTAGGTCATGCCCATGAAGTTCCAGAATCCGGGCCAGGAGAAGGGGTGTCCGCGGTGCCGAGCCTGCAGGTCAGCGCTCACAGCTCCGACTTTGTTGTCTTCGAAAGGTGCGATCACGGAAGCGATGAAGCGCGGGGATTGGGGCCAGTATGTGTGGTCGTCCTGCAGGATGACGAGGCGCGTTTCGACTTGCTTGAGGGCTTGGGCTGTTTGTTCCCGGCGTGAGGCCTTGACGCGATGGGCCACTACGACCTTGCTCTCTGGGAATAGAGCTCGGAAAGAGCGAAATTGTTCTGCGGCTTGTGTGCCGGCGGTTGCGATAATAAGCTTGGGTACATTTTGGTTGAGTATGGAGCGGACAACGTGATGCAGTGTTACGGACATGAGGTCTGTGGTGGGTATGATGACTGTGACATCGTTGATGTGGTATGTGGGGTTGAGCGGTATAGGTGTAGGCCGGTATCTATAGGTGCCGTATAGACTGATAAGAACGCGGGTGTATCGAAGAAGAAAGACGAAGAGAAAGCATATTGGGTAGATGTTGCGATGTAGAGACTGGTAGATGGGCCACTCTGTCTGGCGGGTCGACAGGTACAGTAGAGGCATCTTTAGGCTGTGGCTCGTCTCTGGCAGTAGTGCGATCAACGCATGTGTCGCAGGAAACAGTTCGGTGAGAGTCATCGCAACCTGATGCTAGATTTGCTAAGAATCCTGACTATGGAGATGCTATAAAGAACAAGCGAAGGATGATGCAGTAACAAAGCGCTGTTGTAGAGTGCGTTGCTCATATCGAGACAGCGCAGGGAGTCCTTTATATTGCAAAGAATCATGGAAGAGACAGCGAAGTAGGCTGTGAGTGTATGAGTAGTTACAGTGGTGTATTTGTGTCTGCTAATCAGCGCATATAGAATAGAGAGAAGGATGGCGATAATAGAGCGATCGCATTTGGTATCGTTGTTGTGAAGCAAAGAAACACGTGAGAGCCCCCTACTCACACAGCGACCCATTCGTACGGCGGCAGCTTCGAATCATCCGGCTTATCCTCCGGCAACAACTTATACGCTTTCGTCTTGCAAAACGTCCATGCGAGCGCGTCGCGTAGCCTGATTGCCCAGGCAGTCTGAGGGAAAGCGAACTGAGGGAAACCAGGCGGCAAGTCTGCACCTTGACCTTGGACCTTGCGGTACGTCTCTTCGTAGCGCTTGAGCGCAGCTGGGATATCGTCGGTGGACTTTATCTTGCCGAGTTCGCCTGCGAGGAAGTATGCGCCCTCGACAGCGAGGGTAGTGCCAACACCGAATGTGGCGTGGGCTGCATCGCCAAGAAGAACAGCACGATTGTTTGTCCATGTAGGAAGCTTGACGTATGCTGAGCGGCTCATATAGAAGTCGTCGCATGCGTCCATGCCGGCGAGGATGCGCTCAGCCTGCCACCCCGCATCGTCGAGATACGTATGAAGGATTTCTTTCTGCTTCTCGGGACCGCCTTCCATCGCTGCTTCGACGAGGGGATCGTAGTGTCCATGTGCTGGCGTTGTGATGATGACGTAACACCCAATCGTCTTGCCGTTGCGATGCGGTCGCGTCATCAAGCCTCGGCCTTTTGGTGCGTTGTACCAATACCAGTGCTTCGTGTCGGATTCCTGGCGGGGAATGCTGAAGTACGCGACGTATTGCCCGATGAAGTTGTAACTTCCCTTGAGCGTCTCTTCATCCAGGATAAGGGAGCGTGTTCGTGACGCTGAGCCGTCTGCGCCAACGATGAGGTCGAACTTGTCTGTTGCTCCACTGTCGAAGGTCACGTCCACCGACTGGTTTGTTTGTTGTACCGCTGTGACATAGTCGCCGTACACGTATTTCACATTCTTCATACTCTTTGACGCATCCAGGAATAGGCCACATAGATCGGATCGCAGGATCTCGTACTCGGATGTGAAGCCGCCTTTTCCGAACTCGGCGATAATCTTGCTTTGTGCGTTGATCAGGCGTGTGCCCTCCTCCGTGGTGTTGCGTGCAAGAACGCTTGGCAAGAGGCCCATCTTCTCGACAATGGAGATGGCTGGACCACGGATCTCGATGGACTGGCCGGTGGGCCGAGGGAATGGCGAGCGTTCTAGAACGGTGATGGAGGCATTCAGACCTGTTCTGGCGAGCCAATAGGCGAAATTTGATCCTGCAATGCCAGCACCGTTGACAAGAACTTTGAGTTGGGGAGCTGTTGCGAGAGACATGGTTCTGATGAGTCGTTTGGCGATGATGTGTTGAGACATATCGATGGACGCGACACACGTTACTTATATACCTTGAAGTTGTGATGCTCTTGCATCCAAGGCGTCCAAAGCTCAGCCTTCGTGCGCTGAGGCACGCCTGACCCGAGATCAATCTGGCCCGAGATGCGTCAAACCCGAGCTCTTTGGCACAGACATCGCTACGAGGCGCACCTAGTCGACGAGCTTATCGCAAATAAGCACTGGCTAATGCGCCGCACCGACATGGGATGAATTAAGGTATATTGTCGTGCTCCAATAGTGTCGATGGAGGAGTGCTGCCTGGCGTGAGACGGGCGGGCGGTTGGGTTGGTGCGTTTCGCCGGAGCCAACTCTCCCTCCCCCGCCATGTCCACTCTGAGAGGCACGGGAGTTCGTAACTTCCGAGCTGTGAGTGCGAGCGCGTCGTATCCACCGTTTCTGTAGTGGCATGACGTAACGACGCCATAATGGCCGTAGCAATAGCCACTTTCTATCAAGCTCACGCCTCTTCCCCACGCCCACGGGTTTCAAGATTCTGTCCAAGCCTGCGAACGCTAGACCACCTAGAAACACACCACACGATGGCGCGCATTCTTATCACAGGCTCTTCCGACGGTCTCGGATCAGCCGTCGCCAAACGTCTCGTCGCAAATGGACATTCTGTTGGTATGCATCTAAGATGCCCGTCTTGAACGTCACCCAGGCGCTGATGCGATGCAGTTCTTCATGCGCGCAACGCTCAACGTGCAAAGGACGCCACGACAGCCTGTCCTGGGGCTGACACAGTCGTGACGGGCGACTTGTCCAGCCTTGCAGAGACCAAGAACATGGCAAATGAAGTCAATAAGCTGGGAGCGTTCGACTGCGTGATTCACAACGCCGGACTTTATCAAGGCCCATTCCGCAAGACGCACGAAGGGATTCCCGCCTTAGCAGCCGTCAACACTGTAGCGCCATATGTGCTTACCGCACTAATCACGCGTCCCAAGCGCCTGGTATTCCTCTCTTCGGAGATGCATCAATCTGGTTCACCTAGTTTAGACGATGTTCTCTGGCAGAAGCGTGGCGAAAGCGGATACAGCGCGAATGCGGCTTACTGCGCGAGCAAGCTGCACAATGTCTTGCTTGCCAAGGCTTTCGCTCGCAGATGGCCGGATGTGAAGAGCAATGCGTTGGATCCGGGTTGGGTGGCTACGAAGATGGGTGGGAGTTCGGCGCCGGGGAGCGTTGATGCGGCGGTCGAAAGTTACGTTATGCTTGCTGAGGGAGAGGAAGAGCAGGCCAAAATGAGCGGGTGCTATTTCCATCCGAACAAGCGACAAGGCACACCCCATAAGGCAACAGAGGATGAGAAGGCTCAGGACAAGCTGCTGGAGATTTGCGCTGAGTTCTCTGGTGTCCAGCTTCCATAACGCTCATTACATTCCAGCAATGAACAAGCTCCTTTGATTTACACACCAGTGCTTGCGAGACAAATACCATGACTACCACGAAATCCACCATCCTCCCATCCTCCGCCCCTCCGCCTCCCCGCCGCCTCCCCCACCCACCCTGGGCACGCCGCATAAGGCGACGGAAGATGAAAAGGCTCAGGACAAGCTGCTGGAGATTTGCGCTGAGTTCTCCGGTGTTCAGCTTCCATGATGTTCTTCGTATTACAGCCATATACGAGCTTCTTTGGTTTCCACACCAGCGCCTGCAGGACATACTCGAAGAGACAAATACCATTACTACCATCTATTCCACCCTCACCCCAAACTACCCCCCAACATTCCTTTCCCCCTTCACTTTGTCTCTAGACTCTCTCCAGTAACCCTCCTCTCCCAAAGAAACTCATAATCCCCCATCGCCTTGCTCACAAAATCCTCCAAATCCGCCGCAAACTCCTCATTCCACTCTTCCACCCACTTCTTCCTCTCCACCTCCATCGTTAAACCTTTCGCTTCATACCCCTTCTTAATCCCCTGCAGACTCCGTCAGTATACATCTCACAAGCATTCCGTACAACAGCCGCGACGTACCTTACTCGCATTAATCGTGCTCAGAAACCGGGCCATGAGCGGATTATCCTCAATTTTCTTCTCCTCCCACTCATACAGCACAGCCTCCGGATCCAACCCGCACTGAACACACAACTCACGCACCGCAGCCGCGTTATTCATAATATCATCCGCATCAATAACCCTTGGCACAATCCCTGACGTAGCCTCCCGCTCCGCATACCATTCATACAATGCTCTTGTATACTTGAGAGTATACGTGGTACACGTATACAGCGTCCGTGGCTTGGTATCCGGAAACGAATCCTTTTGGGCGCGCAGCATAGACGGGAACATCAAAATCGGATGTCGGATTTGGAAGATGGGTTGGAGGGAGAGGAGGAGGGAGTCGGGGACGGAAGTGGGGTTTGTGTGTGGTAAGGAGGAGGAGGAGGATGAGGAGGGAGAGGCATTGCGTGGGTGGATGGTTAGGGCTGGGGGGTTGTCGTTGGGGTAGACGGTGGAGAAGAGGCGGTCGGGCCCGGAGAGGAAGATTGTGTGTTCTTTTACAAAGGCTTGTTTGTTCTGTTGGATGTTTGTTAGTTTGGTGTTGTAGATGGGGGTTGGATAGTGAGGAGTGGGACGGGCCAGCCCGAGCACGTCATCTTGTGGGCGGATCACGACGGGCGCATGTGCGGTTGTGGCGCAGCCTTGCCCTTATAATTCCCCAACCCCACATCTCACAACCTCATCCCTCTTCCAATATTTCTTTCCTACTTACATTCTTCGCGCAATCGTCCAACTCGTCCTCCAAGCTGCCAAACGCCGTTTTGAACGTCTCATACAACCCGTTTCTCTCCTCCTCAGGCCATTCGCTCAGCGGTCCTTTCTCAAGATTCATCAGCGTAGCAAAGCCGCCGTCGAAGAGCTTGTAGCCAGAGTTCTGGTAGCCGGGCTGCTTGGACATCATGGTTTGGAAGAGATTGGATGCTGAGCGGGGGTGCGTAAGGAGGTAGACTCCGCGGCGACCGGGGGGGAAGGCATTGGGTTGGGGGGTTTGGAGTGTGCCTGGCATGGTCGCTTGCTTCCAAGGTTAAGAAGATGTGGTAGGTAGGTTGGTATGGAAGAAGAAGAAGAAGAAGAGTCTTGATAAAATGATCGATCTATCAAGCACAGAGAGGGAAAAGAGCAAGGCGAAAGAATTACCGACGGCAGAAAAGAGCTGGCTATCGCAAACAACTTATGCGCTTGCGGACGAATACACCCCGTCACTTGTACCTTGTATGAGGATCATCACGCTGCAGTACAGCGGCTACCGACTGCCCGCCCCTCCCCCCAACGGTCTCACCTCCATGGTGTGTCCACTTGCGGTCTACGGCGACCGAGGAGTCCGAAAGAGCGGAGCTTATAAAGCGCTGCGAGGCGATATGGCTTTAGGCTGTGGCTGCTGTCAAGGCTACGGCAAGGCTACGTCCACTAAGCGTCGCATGCCAGCCCCGCACAAGGCGTAAAGTGACTGCAGTCGCCTCGCGCCAGCGGCCGACAGACCGACGTTACACTATCGGCCGAAATATACGCATGCAGATCCGTGCAAGCATACGCACTTTTAGTATGTACGACCGCTACTTTCGTACATCAGGCAAAGTCAGGCGATCTCGGTGGATATTGTGTAGTAACAAGCTGGGATTATGTGGGGGTATCATGGAAAATTTATCTTATCAATCAATCTGATCAAAATCAATCGCCGAGATATATGCGAGACCTTTTCTGAGCAGTGATCTTCGCCTGTTGCAACTCAACTCCACCAGCGCTTTGTTCGATCGCGTAATGCGCGACTGTGAATGCGAATGCCGAGGTCGGCATGCTTCAATCTAGACGCCTGGCATGCTCGTGTCTTGTAAGAGACTGCCCGCGTGCATACAACCCCTACCCCGTCGACCAGAAATTGCCCTTGTTCGCATCGATCGGAGGGGCGCGCCAGGATGGTGAAGCACGCAGCAGGTTCGTGCGGTCCTCTGGGGTAGGCAGAGCGTCGTTGGTACCGCGGTAAGCGTGGAAGAGGGTATTTCCTGCATGGTCTATGCATCAGCGTTGTGAAGGACAAGCACTGACTCATCCGCGACTATGCTTCAGCCCTCCTTCCCACCCTGCTCATGCTCCTTGTCCTGTTCGTGCCCATGTTCGTGGTGCCCGTTGAGATGCAGGATCCGCTTCATGCCGTCTACACTCTTCTCCAGATGGGGGTGTCGAGCTATGAAACCTCCATGATGGCCGGCGGATGGAGTACCGGTAATAGTGCGCTTCTTACCGGCAAGAGGGTCAACCGCAGCTACCCTTGGAGGCCACTCATCCGAGTCCTTCCAGCCTTGTACCAGCGCCTTGGTCATGTCTGCGAGGTTGATGGGCACCGAGGGCGTGCGCGACGAGACGACGATCTTCTGGAAGATGTCGCGGTATGCCTTGGGGGTGATGGACGCACGGATCGGGTTGTCCTCGAGGAGACGCGGCGCGACGGGAACGAGGTCGAAGGTGTCGGGCGTGGCGCTGGTGATGGAGTGCGATTCAGAGCCGGTGGGTGTGACGGCGTGCTCTTCGGACGAGTAGCCTGCGGCTGAAGACGGGCGGTTGGCCTGTCTTTGGCGGTTCGTGCCGTACTTCTTCACGCTCGCTGCGCCCGTCCACACGTCTCGGCGCTCGACCCAGATCCTCAGCCCTTGGTTGTCTTTCATCTCGCGCTCCAGCCTCTCTCGACGGCGCCTTCTGCGCGCTTCTCTTGTGCTCGCTACCGCGTCGCCGATGCTCTCTGGGTTGTCGAACCTGTACGGGCCGACACCTTCGTCTTCTTGATCCGAGTCTCCAGATTCCGACTCGCCGTAATAGCGCTCGCGAAAGTCGGCAGCGTCGCGGACTTCTTCGTCCGAGGCTGACCAGATGGCAGGCACGTCAGGATACTCCCAGTCGTTGCGCAGGCGCTCGTCGAGGTAGCGCCGGGAGGCTCGGGCGGCGCTCAGGTTGTTCTCCATGGTTGAGGCGTGAGTGCAGCGCTGATCGCAGGTGTGATGGGCAGAAGAGTGGGGAACTGCAAGCGGGGACCAGGCTGACTGTCAGACCCCAAGGTTGGAATTGCCCAATTTCCAAGCCCAGATACCAAGACTAGTGACGCACGCGATTAACAGGTTGATCACCGTCTCGCAGCCGTCAGACAAATATCGCGTGTTGTGCTGCGGGGTATTTTGTAGAACCTTGAAGAAATGAGATGGTCGTGGAAGCGGGTAGAGAGTGGGTTTGCGAAAAGAAAGTAAAACCGGCAGTGGCCGCGATTAAGAGGGTCAAGGGCAAAGACAATGCGACAAAGCTTGAATCGGCTTTGCGCTGGCATTGGCGCCAAATGCATCGTTGACGTCGACCGCACGCAAATGCATGCAGGGCAGAATGGCGGGGCGCCGTACTTTACCCAGCCGAGCAAGCGCCCTATCATTCCCTTACACAATGACCTTCACTCCAAACTACCACTCACAGTAATTGAATCGGTTTATCACAAGCTGAGCGCGCACAAGAAGAGAGATGACTTCCACCACCTCCCCTCCGCCTCCCCCACCCACCCGGAATGGCGGGGCCTGCACTTTACCCAGCCGAGCAAGCGCCTATCACACCCACGATTTGTTAGCATCATAGAATCACTGAGTCGACGACTTTGGGAATTATCGTGAACTTGCGAGCAGATTGGTAGATGTGAATAAATATAGACTTTGGTAGCAAAGGTGTTTTCACATAATCACCCATTAACCTTTCTCCTTCATGGCTGCAGTGATTCCATCCACAACACCCTCTTATCCCATCTTTCGAGCCTTACAATATTACCAGCCCCACTCCCCATTCGGATCTTCTTTCACGCTTTAAAGTCAGGATTGTTGTATACCTCGGACCTCGTTCGCGTGCGTGAAGATTGTAAGATGGTTCTGTGCTTGAGTATCGAAGTAATACTCTGCCGTTGCTCTAAGGACGTGTTGTTTGGGGACTTGTACTTGACAATGCCATTTCGGTATCATCGATTCGTGTGTGGGATAAAAGGTATGCACTCTGCGGATGACGAGGGGAGTACGTAATCCATGGCTAGTTTGTCGCAGAAACGTCGTAGTACCTCATGATAGGGAGTTTGGTGTTTGCGAAGCCGTCGTTCTGTGGGTCGTGTATCTCGATCGGTGGTTGTGTGGAAGTGGTCGTAGTGGTGGTTTCCAGAGGGAACAAAGTGCCAAAGTGAACAAGACGAGGATGATGATAAAGATGACAGTGAAGGGATCCATGGTACGGTGTGAGTATGCTTCTGGATGTAGCGACAAGACATCGTGGATCTAACGCTGTTATATGCTGGTTCTCGCGAAATGGACCACATCGAGATGAGTGTGCTCTGAGCTCATCATGCTGAAGCCTCGAGAGTTCATCGTCATGTGTCGACCGTAATAGGTCCTACCCGCGAGATACTCGGTATTGAGGTTGCGCGTCGTGTGTCGAGTATTCGCACCTTTGACCCGAAGGGGCTAGCTTAACGTAGGATTCCGGAGCTATCAGGCTGATTTGTGGACTGTGGGCGCCGGGCTTGCCCAATCGTAGATGGAATGATGTATCGGTGTCGGTTAGAGGGTGGGCGTGTCTTTCAGACCATACTATCAGCTTCTTTCTCTCGTTCTTGGGAAGCTGAAGACGGAGGCATCGGTGGTGTCGGTGATGGCTGTAGTGGTGCTGGACCCCAGAGAGCACAGAGTAGCATGGTAAAGAGAATAAGAACTATAATAATGACAGTAAAAAGATCCATAACTACTGTTTGTGAGATCAAAGATTGAAGAGTGCGGAGAATTGAAGTGAGGGATTCTGATATCAGGTTCGATTTATGCTGCGGCATTCTTATTTCATGAAAGGGGGCAATGAGAGCAGACGGCGGCACCGCATCTCGGTTGACTCGGTCTTGTTCCCAAATTTACTTTTGCGCAAGTATCTTGGAGAATGGCTGAGTATCTTGGTGTTGGCTTGGTAGATTACGGGCCATCTGCGCCCTTTCCCGATTGGGTTAGATGGGGTTTGTGTTGATGGTTTGTCCATGCATGCCAGCTTACATGGCACAACAATAATATATGTCGAGATACGCAAGGGATGGCCTTGATGCAGATGGTTGTAGAGCTGTTGTATGTAAGAGTTGTTTGATGGATGTTGTGCCTTTGAAGATTTGATTTGTTCGGTGAGAATGTCGGGGCGAGGCAAATGTACATCGCATAACGTGTAGCAATATCATACTGACCGGTCGTATGATCGGATAGACGTCGATGCTAGATTATATGTGAGTGGCTGGTATAACATCGAAAGTGATGACAATGTTGGATGTTGGACTCGAACTGCTGTCGCAAGTAGTAAGTACGCGGGGTCCTGCTACGTAATGAAATAGCATGTCGACACAACCATAGTACTCCGGAAAGAGGAAGCAGTAGCGAATGCGAAGAACAAAGTATGGGGAGCAGCTAGTACTTGGAGATTAACAAATCGTAGTGTCGTACGAGGTTCGGGCTCGACACAAGCATTGTAGATCGCTGGTGGGCAGCCGAGGCAGGCACCGACACAGTGGCTACAGTGTAATGAAATGAGGAGCAGTCGCGGAACAAACCGGGGGTGGAATGGTCGACAAGTTTAGATCCTCGATCAGAGGGAATAAAGCGTAGCAACAGTCATCGTTTCCCCAGATTGACCCCTGGGATGCGCAAACTAGAGGTGATCGGACGGGAGCTACGGTAGGGTCGGCCAACGAAAAGACAGTCGTGTGCCCGCCACTGCAGTTTTCGGACCGCAGAAGAGTGCTGGGACACGGTCGCGCGCCATTGAAGAAAATGGCGGAGGAGATTCCCTTCTTGATCTCTAGGCGCACTCGGATCCCGGCGAGACGGCTCGTTGCGGTGAGAAGGTTTGTCGGAGCAGGAATGAGGTGTTGGACAGAAGGAGAGACGTTGATGTATGTAGGAGGCCAACGAAGGGCATGCGGATAGTTGGAGCTAGTTCCTGTGCCTGAGCCATGCTGTGATGACAGTAACCAGGTCGCTGTGGTGTGGATGCATGTCATCCTTTGAGGGTTCGGAGAGCTTGGCGGCCGGGAGCAGGGAAGGAGCAAGCGAGGTGGTGGGCGCTAGTGGGCTCAGCAGGTGGGCGCAAGACATCTTTCACATGTGATGGCGGTCCAACTTCTCACGCGCAACCAGACGCATTCTTGACATCCAATCCAACACCCGAGTCCCTCACTGCGTAGTATATCACGCGCATTCACTGTCGCCGCCCGCTGGGGATGCGCCTGCTCACCGGCACTGTCTTGTCCGACGCCCCATCCCGGCAGCGCAACCAGCGCCGTTGCGAATGCTCGTTCCTCACGTCATATCGCGCGCACTCTCTCAACACCTCCCAACCGGGCCAGTCTCGACGCCTCCACACGCACAAGCAGTATAGAGACTCTTCGGCGGCCTAGCCCAGCCTCTCGTCTAGCCCGACAGAGCCGGTAGAGGACAGACTTTCGCCGTCTCTCGGCGTCACCCACCATCACCTCACCACGCTGGAGACGTTGTCGCATCAGTCGTTTGCGGGGCTCGCGGGTGCTACGGCCAGGCGCCTCCCACGACCCGCCATGAACGACAAGGACCCGCCGCCGTTTGGCTGTACGCTTGCCGACCACCGCCCAGAGACTACACACTGACGCAGAGCAGACACCTTCACCAACGACTTCTTCGACGGCCCGCCCGCCACCTACGACCACAATGGCCAGTCCATCCTCAGCGACATGGAGAACCAGCAGCTCGACAACTTCTTCTCCTCGACCAATCCCTTTGACCTCGTAGACGCGGCCGCCCTCGCACCCGCCCTCGACACAAAGGCGAGCGCCCACGACTACAACAACTGGGAAGACTTCATAGCCCCGCCCACGGTCCACCGCGTGACCAGCACTATACCAGACCAGGCTCGTCTGCAGAACAACTTCCACCAAGACCAGCAATACCCCTCGTCGCTCCACACAGACTTCCTAGGCAATACCCAGGATGAGCTCCAGGCAGCCACAGCTCTCTTCAACCAGGCCCAGCCTTCATACACGAATGGCCGCTCGCACAGCTTCCATGAGCTGTCTACCGCCTCCAACGGCTTCGACGCGAGTAGGGCCCCCGATCTGAATCTCAACACGCTGCCCATGACAATGCCCCAACACGGCCTTATACACGAACGCTTGGGATCATTGGTACCGAACCACAACGCCCAGGCCACCGACACACAGTATGCCTCACGATGGGCAGCGAGCCAGGCGTCACAACAACACCACTCCGAATTCGGCCCACCGCTGCAGAAGCTCGACTTGAAGAGGTCGTATACTTTCGGCACCGACAACTCCTTCAACAGCCCATCCGGCTACTCAATACCCAACGGCCACCCGGACGCAGAGAGCGCAGCCAGGGCATCAATACAAGACATTGAAGAGACTTCGCACCACATCCTCCGAGCCGTAGCCGGCATACAAGGACCAAGTACCCCTACCACCTACACTCGCGGGCCACGAGACTCCGCCTCGCAATCCGACGACGCCGAATCCGACGACGAAGACGAAGACCGGCCGGCGAAGAAGCGGAAAAAGAGCCAGGTGCGATATAGCAAAGACACACCAAAGAAAGCCGCGCGCAACGGCAAAGCTCGGAAAGCGTCTACGGTGGAGGACAGTACAAAGAAGAAGCGGGCGTCCACTGCGGCTCAGAAGGCACATCGCGAGAATCTTACTGAGGAACAGAAGCGGAATAATCATATTTTGTCGGAGCAGAAGCGGAGGGATTTGATCAAGCAGGGATACAAGGATCTGAATGAGGTTGTGCCTGCTGTGAGAGGGGGCGGGCTGAGTAAGAGTCAGGTTCTTGTTGAGGCGGCGGCGTTCTTGGAGAAGCTGATTGAGGAGAATGACAAGTATCGGGTTTCGATGGGGTGATCTGCCGGATTGCCACTGCAGTGGACCCGACAGTTACCTGCTACCGCCATACGCTTTGTCACCTGCTAGCACGAAGACCCGACTGATGACGCAACGGTAGTTCCTCGAACAACGCCCCGCCTGGAGCCACGACCCCGTCTCAGCGTAGAATCACACTCACGCGCATGCGTTCTACGAGGTCATGACGCCGCGATCCCATGATTGTACATGTGCTACAAATTACCAACACAAAAAGGAGTTTTGGGAATGGGAGGAAGGGAGGGAGGGAGGGAGGCATTCGATACGATACCCCAACACACTAACTAGTATGAAATAATCTTCTTGTAAATATTTCGCTGAGGAATTTATTGTCGAGGGTCAAATCTACACATGCTATCCTCTCATTGTTTTCCCTCTTCACCACGCCACATAGTCCACTTCACTCCCTCACGCCGCAGCGTTAGACGTAGCAGTAGCACCCGCCGTCTCACTAACCCCCTCCTCCGGTATCACAACCCTCATACTCTCACTCCTCACCCTCGCAGGCCCCCTCTCAAACCCCCTCGGCACCCCCGCTACCCTCCCATGTACTTTTCCCCTTGCGCCCCCCGGCCCCGTGACCTTCTTTCTCCTCTGCGAAACATAATCACATCTCCCGTAATCGTTACAGAAACCCGTTTTGCACGCGTTGTTGCTGCGGCAGGGAGACCCGAGACAGGCGTCTGTTGCGGAGCAGGGTGTGCATAAGCCCCAGGAACAGTATTCGGAGGCGGAACAGTGGGTGGGTGTTGTGCAGGGGTTGGGATGGTGGGAGGGGGGGAGACATATTGGAGGGGGTTGTTGTTGTTGGGAAGGGGAAGAGGAGGAGAGTCTGATGGTTTCGAAGAGGTGGGGGAGGGAATCTGTGTAGCATGTTCCTTTTGGATCATTCGGTTTGACCGCATACCTCCTCCTATATTCCTCCTCCTCTTGCTGCATCCCGCTGTCTCCAGGTATCGTCCTCTTCCTCTCCTTATTCTTCTTATCTTCCGGTTGGATGGTCATCCGCGCAACACAAGCCGCACACTCCCCCTCCACACACCGTAAATGGCTCTGACAGACGGCCTTGCTGTTGCATCTATCCCCCACTTTCCCTGGTTGCGAGTCTGGATTCGTTTGGCATATGCTGTTTTTACAGAGAAGATTTGGTGAACAATCATCTGCTGCGTCACATAAATGGCCCACGCAGCCAAAAGTGCAGTCGCTTTGTTCGATGATATACGGGTTCAACCGCACACTCGTGACGTTAGACAGACCCGCCGGTTTCAGTCTCCATTCTTTGGTGGCGGGGGAGCCGGTGAGCATGGAGCGGAGGTAGGCTTCTGTGGTTTCGTCGGCGGAGGGGGCGATGATGGTCGTGGGTGGGTGGAGGTATTTGGACCAGGAGAAGGGGCTACGCGTTGTGAAAGAGCGTTTTAGGATATCGACGAGGGCGGGCCAGGTTGTGTAGGTGGGGTGGAGGGGGTTTATGCGGGAGGATTTGCCTTCGGAGAGGGGAGTTAGGTGGGAGTATAGCTGGGGGGGGGTTGTTAGTACGGTATAGCATGTCTTCAGTACCACAAACGGTAAGGAAGGGGGGAAGAGAAGAAATGGAAGGCCTACTCACCCAAGGAATCCCCCTATAATTCAGCACATTCCCCCCATCCCAAACCGCCTCCTTCTTATAAAACAACCCAAACACCTCACTATGCACATACCCCCACTCCTCCACCAACAACAGTTTCCCCTCCCCCTTCTTCTTCCCCGTCGCCCGCCCCATCAACGTATTCCCCGGTAGAAACAAATCCGCCCACGCCGTCCCCGCCGTCCTATCAGTCCTCTTATCGAAATACCCATGGATACCAATAACATCAATAGCCTTGCAGTCAAACACGCTATCCGGAAAATTCTCATTCCCGTCAACGGATTGTGCACCTGATACGCCGCCGCTGATGACGGCAATGTTGGATGCGTCGAGACCGATGCTGTATTTTAGATAGGAGGCGATGTCGCAGAGCCAGGATTCGCCGGATGGGATGGGTGAGATGCCAGAGAAAGGCTGGTTTTGAAGGTCGACGCCGAGAATGACTTCGGATAAGGTGCTCCAGGGGCGGCCGTCAAAGTTCTTGGAGGGGTAGTGGGTGAAGAAGACGCCGAGGCGTGTTTTGTACATGTCGCGATATTCCTCGTTGCTGTAGAAATCGAGGAACGCGCCGTTGAGTTTCTGGCAGTAGGCGTCGCAGGCTACATCATTAGTGCCCCGAAGTGCATGTGCGTCGTGCGGTGCGATGATGACTTTCATCTGGCCTTTCGACAAATGGTGAATGGCTGCTAGCGTGTCATCGAATTGGTCGAGCAGCGACTTGTCGAAGCCGCCTATCTCGCCTTCTGGATCTGGGTGTTGGGCATCTGGGCGGATGAAGAGCCGGATTACGCGGGCGCCGCTTTTGATGATTTCGCGGATTGTGGCATCGCGGTGGGAGGGGGTGAAGAATTGGAGTTGGGGGTAGTTTACGCCGCCGAAGGAGTGGTTGGAGGAGGTGATTCTGAGGGAGGAGGAGGCGGAGGCGGAGGCGAGGGGAGAGTAGGCGATGAGGGATAGTGATAGTGTCAGGAAGGATGGGAGGAGCATCTTTGCGAATATGGCATGGACGACAAGACAACGGAAAGGAATTGCATTGCGACGCGGTATAAGACAATCATCCTGATCTGAACACGTGTAGAAGTTTTGCTATAGACAGATCTCTGTAACGGCGGACTAAGTGTTGATACTTGCGGGATTGACAATGTTCATATGGATAGATTAATTGCGGTGGTGCGTGCAGCCAATCACGGGGGGCTTGTAGGCAGTATACGCGGGGTCGCTAACCTGGACGGCGGGATGATGGAAGTTGACAGGGTGTGTTTTCTGGAGTTCGTACTGGGTTTGTCACGCTGTCTTGTGCTCGTGATGGTCCTGGCTAACGGGGATACAGACGCGTGGTTGATACACCGGAGAATGAGCACAGCAAGCGTCGCATCGGGTATTGGCAAGATGTTATGGTATGATATTTGCCGCGATGAGGATCGGATGAAACCATGTATCAGAGTCGTCGTGCGCAAGTCCGGCGGATGGGAGTGGCAGCTACGTTGTGCGCTCACTTTATCCTAGATACATAGCCTTGGTAATGATTCGGGTGTGGACAGGAAGCACTGCGACGTGCTGCGATACGTCGCAGGATATCCTTTGATCCAAATCTACGGGGATGATCTGGATCCCTTGTCCTAGTGCTGGTGTTGTTCCTGTCAACGATTGAAGAGTGGCGTCTACTGCTCGGCGTAGTGCGGGATCGCACAAACGTCTCTGTAGACATAGTACTTCCCTGACCGGCATAAAAACTGCGCAAGCGTAACCTCGTTTTGCGGTCGATAGCCTTGGGCGGTAATGCGCAATTTTACCAGCTCAGGCAGTGTGTGATCCAAGTCGAAGACTGAACCTTTCGACCGCTAGCATGGTCCTCATGTTTGTACAGTGCATTCGTCACGACGATGCTTGGATATTCGCAATTCTCATCCAGCCGGTTTATCGCACACAGCTTCAAGTCGCTTGAGCGTGGCCATGACTTCTTCTCCAATGTTTTCTCCGCTGGACGACGGTGCGAAGCGGCCATGTCGCAGCTCACTGAGGGCGCCAACAACGTCTTTGACCTCAGCCAAAGCCCGTCTGTTCTCTTGCTCTATCTCTGCGATCTGGGCCTCGAGGGTTTGGCATGCTTCTTCGATGTCGGTGTGGACCGTCTGTAGCGTGTGCGGTTTCTTGCGACTTTGGTCGGAGAGCTGGTGGTTGTCAGCGCAAATCTTGGCATTCTTCCCATATGTTGGGTACCTCCTGCTCCATTTGAAGCGCAATCGGGTCCAGTCCGGCGACGGTTGCATCGTCTACGTGGCGTCTTTCCCGAGCGTACTCCCGCCTCAGCTGCTTGGACCGTTTGACCTCATCGATGATGTCCTGGCGGATCAGCTCGATATCCCTGTCGCGTATGTGCTGAAGCTCGCGATAGATCTCCTGTACAGCGGGGTTGGAGCGGTGGGCGCGGGGGAAGATGTCGGTGAAGTCGCGTAGGGTGGTGAAGTCGCGCAAGGGAGCAGGTGCGAGGAGGAAGTCACCGAGGATCTTGGCCTCTTGCGACGGCATGATTAGAGCGGTGGAGGGAGGTTTTAGACTGGATGGTGTCCACGCATATGATTAGTATGGCAGTGTTGGTGGTGGATGCGCCAATGAAGGAGGGCCATCGGAACGCGCGACGACGCGTTGTGGCCCGTGCCCAGAAAACTCCCGTGAGACGTGCCTGGACGACTCCAAGCAAACGTCAACTGAACCGTCTTTCACCGAGCTTGTCGACTGTATCCAGTATTCAGGCAACCGTCACTCCAGTTTCGCGGCGCAAAGTATCGTTCTTATTGTCGAACACCAAGGCTGGCACGAAGACGCGCTACGTGGACGTGCAATCTCTCGCACCCTTACCGCTTCCTTCCTGACTACCAAACCCATCAACATCAATTTCATCACATTCCATCGCAATCATGGCGCCCGCAGCTGCGCCGGAGCCTTCCTTCAAGAAAGATGAAAAGGTCTTTTGTTTCCACCATGAGTTGCTATACGAGGCCAAGGTGCTCGAAGTCAGGCCTGTAGAAGAAGACAAGAAGAATGGCTTCGAATACAGAGTCCACTACAAGGGCTGGAAGAACACGTACGTATCTTTGATCCGTTGGAGTCTGCGCCCGCCGGCTTGTCACTTCGTCTCCCACTGCAGAAGTCACGTTTGCCTCGCCATACACTTCACTCGTGCCCACGTACTACACCTTTACTACACATTTGCAGCGGCACATCATTTCAAATCGGCCCCTCGAAACTCAAAAACCCGCGGCTTGCTTTTGAGATCGCAAGCTAACGCATCGCAGCTGGGACGACTGGGTTCCTGAGGACCGGCTTCGCAAGCTGTCTCCCGAGAACCGAGAGTTGGCCAATAACCTCAGGCACGAGATGCTGGCAGCCCAGCGTGCCGCAAGAGCCCAGCCCGCACCTGCGAAAAAGAAGGCCCAAGGTTCGGCGCGCGGTAGCGAAGAGCGCCAAACCTCCGTCACTGCTGCACCACGTGGGCAGAAGAGGGTGCGCGACAATGACTTAGAGAAGGTGTGTATTCCAGCAATTCGTCCTATGCTTAGCAACTCACTCCCTAACTCCCCTTAGGAAGAAGCATTCCAGAACAAGCTGGCTGTCAGGATCTACATGCCAGATAGGCTAAAGAGCCTCCTAGTCGACGACTGGGAGAACATCACTAAGAACCTGCAACTCGTTCAGCTGCCTTCAGCTTACCCTGCAGGCGTCATACTGGATGAGTACATGAAGCATGTCAAAGACAACAGCAACCGCACCAGCATCGAGCAGGACATCCTCGAGGAAGTCATAGCTGGACTGAAGGAGTACTTCAATAAGAGCGTCGGGCGCCTTCTTCTGTACCGGTTTGAGCGCGAGCAGTTCTACGACATCTGGACGCGCGTCAATTCGCCGACGGATGATCTTGCAGCAAAGCCGCTGGCTGACATCTATGGCGGCGAGCATCTTCTGCGTCTTCTGGGTATGCATATATGAGTTATTAGATGTGAATATTACTAACAAGGCTTTCACAGTCACCATGCCCGAACTCATCGCGCAAACCAACATGGACCACCAGGCCGTCACGCGCTTGCGCGAGGAGCTCAGTCAAATGACGACGTGGCTCTCCAAGGAAGCTCAGATCAACACATTCTTTGTACCTACCTACGAGAGCCCGGGACAGGCTTACATCGACAAGGTCAAGTCCAGCACTTAGGAAGGCGGTGACTTCAAAATTTGATGAGTCGGCCGTTTCGCTTTGACATTTGTGTATCATCACTTCTGCATGGCTGGTGGGTTAGGGCATTGTCTAATGGCGCATAGGCGTTCTTGAGTAGTGACAACCGTGTACGGGATCGGGGTATGCAGTTTTTAAGTTGTCAAGCTCCAAAGTGACATGGATACAAGTATAATAACACAGACTCGAAAAGTACTCATGTCTTCTTGATGACGTCCTCCAGTAACCCAGCAGCCCAATGCAAACACCTCGTCATATCGCCCTCCGCTTCTCTCGGCATGCCATATATACCAACACTCTCGCAAACCTCCTCATCCAACTCTCCATCCACATCCCCATTCCTGAACAGGAACTTGTGGTCCTTCACATAATTCGGCCACACAATATCATCTACATAACCCGGCGGATCTTGCCAGAAGCCCTCAAGCGTCACATAGCCACTCCTCGCCTCTCTCCTCCGCTTCGCAGTCTCATAGCTCGTCCTTAAAAAGAGTCTAACATCAAAGATCTCACGAATCTCCTTCATATCCTGCGAAAACAGCAAAAACCCATCAACAACACATATCCGTCGCTCTTCCCACTCGGTCTTACTCCTCAACCACACCTCAACCTCATCTCTTAACCTCGTGATCTCAGCCTCAGGTACACCATGGTCGCCCACACTGTTCTGGTCTTCCTGGCTGACCAGCCATTCTGGACTGTTACCATGTTCTTTGATATGCTGCAGTGCTTGTTTGAGCGCGGGTAGGTTGAGCGACTCTATGCAATCCCAGTCCTGGACAGAGTTCTTGACGGGGATCTCGGCGTCGGTGAGGTAGAAGTCGTCGAGATGTAGGATGGAGAGTTTGGAGGGGGGGAAGATGTCGCGGAGGAGGCGGGAGAGGGTTGTTTTGCCCGAGGAGGAGGGGCCTGAGATGCCGACTAGGAGGGGTTGTGGCATCGTGGTTGGAGGGTTGGATGATTGGATGGACGCGGGGTACCGGTGGTCTGGTTGCGCCTTCCTTTGGGATGGACTGACGGTTCACAATAATAAGAATAATTCGAGTAGATATTGTCTAGCAACCCCCCTTCACACGACTTACTCACCTTCACACGTGTGAATGGTGGGGCTGTCGGCGTCTGATCGCCCACCGGCCCGCTAGTTCCCCATGCTGCGCGACGCGCCTGCGACTGCCACCATCTGAAGCCCTGCATCACCCACGATAAATTCCCCAAAGTCCCTCCCACGCACAACCATGGAGCCGTCACCGCTGACGCAGGACACGCGACCGGAAATCTTCCAACCCAAGATAATCTCCCTCTACGAAACCCTCTTCAAAGTGCGTCCTCACCATCTCCACCCATTTTGCGCCAACCAAGTGCTAACCATCCCCAGGAAGACGACGAAGAAGTCGAGCTATCCGCCGGCTTCTGGCAAGAATTCTTCCTCCACCGCCCCGACCCCACCGGCCTTCAGCGCATACTCAGTTCGGTAACGCCGGACGAGATGCTGCACCAGCAAGCGCATAGCCAGCAACTCTTCGGGCAAGCCATCCTGCGCGTCAAGCAAGCCAGCGCGCCCGCCGACGAAATCGCCCTCGAGGTACCCATGCCACCCACCCACGCACACACACCTTCTCTTCTCCATGCGCTTACCGCTTAGACCTTGACAGTCTTCCTCGATGCCGCGCTTACGAAGAAGTACACGAATCCTAGCTCCGATATCATAGCTGTTCTTACGGGGCTGAATGATGCGGATAAGGTTATGACGGAGTTTGTT